GACTCCACCACTGCCCTGGGCAGCCTCTTCCAAGGCTTGACAACCCTTTCCATAAAGAAATTCTTCCTACTATCCATCCTAAACCTTCCTCGGTGCAACTTGAGGCCATTTTCTCTTGTCCCATTGCCTGTTCCTTGGGAGAAGAGACAGACCTTTCCTGGCTACATCCTCCTTTCAGGGAGTTGTAGAGAGTGAGAAGGTCTCCCCTCAGCCTCCTTTTCTCCAGGCTGAACACCCCCAACTCCCTCAGCTGTTCCTCACAAGACTTGTGCTCCAGACCCCTCACCAGCTCCATTGCCCTATGTATTAAAAAAAATGCATTAAAACAATTGTGGTGTGTTCTGATGGTGTGCTACAAGAAGCACTTAGGGTGGGATGTAAACATGAGCAAAGAAGACATCTACCTACATCAGCCAACATCTTCTGGTACCAAACCAACCACCATCCCCCAACCTGCATTGCCGATGCCAAAGCTCTGGGAGCCTTGTCTGGTTGCCAGAAAACAATGACTCACAAAAGCCAAGGACACAGCATGTCCAGACACTGCAGACTACCCGAGTTATTTTCTTTCAATGCCAGCATATTCAAAATTGGTTTATTTTTTATTTGGTCAATCTCAACATGATTTGATAGCCTTGAAATTCACCAGCAAAGAACTAACTCTCTAGAGCAACATTGAACAAGGAATGCAAAAAAAAAAAATAATATCTTAAAAAAAGGTAATTTAAACATAAATTGGGGAAAGATCTCAAGCACAATCCTGCAGTTCCTATGCTGCCTTTTTTTTTATGGCACCTCTAATACGTATATAGGTTGACGTCTTTCCCTTTCCATTTGAATATAATGAGTTCTCTATCTTTTCCATGTGAGTCAACAGCTTCCAGCATGGAACTGTCTTTGCTATATTGAATGGCCAAATTTCTCTCTTCCAGCTTTGGCCAGTCTGTCCCTGTTCCTCCCATGAAGACCCCGTGGCCCCTGTGGGAGAGTCTCCGATGCTGTTGCCGCTCCCCCTGCTGACAATGTCCCATCTGGAAAATGCCTTGCCAGGGCCAGAGGGAACAGGGGCCAGAAGAAACCACTCTGAGGGAGTCCATGGGAGAAGAAACAGAACCAGCAGAGGCAATGATGGGTGTAAAGAGATGGGTCACAGTGACCACAGGGGCAAGAGATTCATAGTCACCAACCCACGTGCCCCAGGGGATCTCTGATTGAAACCTCATCTACCTAATCAGCAAAGTGGGGAGGCTGCAAAAATTGTGATGGTTCTGAAGTTTACCTTATTTCCATTTGCACTTTAAACTATGCACATTTTATATTTGCAAGCCAAAATTGGTTGACAGCTTGGCTATTGCTTCTTTTCTAATAAATCCCATATAAATGATAAGGATTAACAGAATTGCTCTTGCTTATAAAATTAACATCTTCTACTTTGCACTTTGCACACAACACTTTGTTGACTGCTTTTTTCCATAGAATCATGGAGTTGCCTGGGTTGGAAGGGACCTTTCAGATCACTGAGTCCAAATAGCAATATTAGCCATGACTTCAGACTTCACAACAGGCAATATTTTCAGTGAAAGTTGTTGTGCATCATGAGAAGCGGCCAGTTTTAAAAAAGTTTCTTTGAAAATGGTCAAAATATGGTATGCGTATATATATATTTGATCAAAAATATTTTGAAACCCCAAAGCAGCACCTGGTCCAGCCCCTAGAGCAGTCAGCTTGGATCTAGGAGACCCCTGTTCCATGCCCTGCTCGAGAACAGGACAGGACCGAGAAGTAACTTGAACCTGAGGCTTTCCCATTCCAGTTAAATTCCCAGAAATCTTTGTTTTCCTGCCAGCTCTAATCTGTGTGGAAGGAGACGTCGAGAGAGCACATTAACTGTGTATGTTTGCAATGAACAGTTTTATATACGGCAGTAAAACTGTGAGAGTTTTAGCTTAGACATACTTGACACAAACAGTTCAAGTTTTGCAAAACATGGCTTTTGGGAAAGGGAGAAAATACGGAGCTGTGTTGTTTTTACAGCCCATTCCCCAAATTCAGCGTTGAAAAAACCTTTGGTGGGAAAGGCAGAATCTGTCTTTCGCTGTCACAATACTCGGCTACCATCACTGAATTTTGTTTGGAATAATATGGCCTTAATGCCCCCATCTCCTGCAGAATTGCTCAGACTGGTAGTTGATTAGAGCGGGGAGAGGTGCCAGTATTATCTGTGTTAGTGCTCCAGAGGTCATCCTACACTAACAAGCCCGCCCCAGTCAGGGGTGACGGAATCCAGCTGCTGCGCCTTCCCCCGGCCGAGAAAGAATCCACTTAATGCCAGGGACGTGTCTCAAAAGATTAACTATTCTAACTAGTTACTCTCCACCTCTGCAAAAGTGGCCGGCTCATCATTATTGTCCTCTTTTTAGCGGGGGGGCTACGGTATACACCCAACCGTTTACCTCTTTAACCCCGTGAACTGCGAGGCACCGAATACACATTATTTTCGAAGGGATAAAACAAAGTTTTACTCCACTGATTTCTGCTTAAAAGTGAGCTCGGGCACCTCTGCAACAGGAGGCAGCGCTCCACTTCAAAGAAATAACGTATCTGCATTATTTTTTTCATGTAAAAGCATGAAAACACACCACACGCCTCCCGTTGAGCAGCGGTGAGTCCCCACACCATCCATAAGAGACGGCAGGAGCAGGGGGTTCATAGCGCTGCACAACACACTCCGAAAAAGACCCCTGGAAGGAGACTTAGTATTTAAAAATCCTTTAAAAGCTGTAACATCACATAGATTAATTAGCAATGCTCTTTTTTATAATACTCCCCTAGTAGCCTGACATTTTTTCCCCACTACCACTTCCTTATATATTCTTTTTGGGTTTGTTTGGGGTTTTTTTTTTTTTTGCTGTTTTAACAGGATGTAAGTGAAGGCAGCTCTTGCTCCAAGCTGCTGGCTGGGCTCTCAGCATCCCCGGGGCTGGCAGCCCTGCTCCGGGGCTACAGATGGGTTGCGTGGCCAGCAGAGGGTACCCGAGATTTCCAATGGCTCCAACACACCCCAAGGAAAAAGCGCCGAGAGGTCACACTGTACCTATTGTTTTGTTCCATTTCCCACTGACACGGGTCACTACTGGTCCGGTTTTGGTAGGGTGGTGGGGTTTTTTTGGTTCTTGAGTCTTATATCAGACGGCACAGGTCTCCAATTTTCTTCCTTTTGAACAGTCCTGCCTAAAAAAAAAAAAGAAAAGCCATTTAAAACTCATTTTATAATTGAATGTGGGTTAAAAGTGCAGAGATTTTAATGGCATTAGAGTTCTTCAAAAGTTTGGACACCATTTGGACTCAATAAATAACACGCTTTCAGAATGCTGACCAATGGAAAAGAGAGATATTCCAAGCGCTAAAGAAAATTTGTGAAGCCCCTCAGAAGCGAAGCTGAGGATTTTGGAACTGTTTTTCAATAGGCACTCTCATTTGCAAATTCGTGAAAGTCCCGTTTTAGAAATAGGTTCTATTTCTTTTTATCAGTATCTCGATTTTGCTGATAAAGCTGATGCTTAGGATAGGAACCCAGCAGAAATTCCTTGATTTATTGCCTGGTGATAACAGCATTAAAGTGAATGCAAAACCACAGATATGCGTTCCCTTCAGCTTGCTCCTGAAGTGAAATAAGCATATAAAGCACAGTGGAAATGCCACAGGAAGGTTTTTCCAAGGTTTTGGGGTTTTTCCTGTTCATTACATTAAAAAAATCTACATCTTGCCAACAAAGTTTTCCCCAGAACTTACTTCAGCGGCTGGAGATGGAGTGGGATTACGATACCACAAGAACCAAGGAAGTGAAATTTGAGTAAATAAGACGGGATGAGATCTTCAGTGATTCAGTGATTTTAGTGACATAAGGGATCGCACCATCACGTAGTCCCAGTTCTTACATAACAGAAACCATGGAATTTCACCCTGTAATTCCTGTACTCTGTCCAATAAAAATATGGTTGAATTACAGCACAGTATTTAGAAAGGCATCTGGTCTTCATTGTAGAAGTCCGGGTAAAATGTTTGCTCCTAGTACTCAGGTCATTCTAAAATGGGATGGGTATCTAATTTCCTTAGGCTTTTAAAATTTAAAAAATGTTATTATTTTTAAAAATGGCTGCCACGATGGCACCATAACAATATACAACCACCTTCTAACTTAATGCTGCTTACAATGTTTTTTATAGTAAGGCAAAAAACCATGAAACTACTGTTTATTTAGGCATAATCTGAGGTCTCCAGCTCTCATTTTTCCTTTCCAAACATTATTTTTCATTAGAAGACATAAATAATAATTTCTTGCAGGTGTAGGCTGTTGACTGATACAATGTGAAAAATAAAAGGAGGAATCCAAATCAGAAAAAACACTGAAATATATCCTTAAGATTTATAAATGAAAAATAATGATTAAAAATAGATTAATAAAACACTCTAAATTCTGCCTCTGCAGTGCTGGTACTTTGAAGAATCCAGGGAACCAACACTATCAGGCTCTGTACCAGGTCAGACAGTTCTGAGAACAGTATCCAAATTGAAAATAATATTGTGTGATTTCTCTTTCCCCATGTAGTTCCTAGTGATGTTTCTGCAGCCTTTGGCCTAAATTCTCAAGACACTTTCCAGAGTCACTTCTTTCGCAGCTGGCCACGCACGTGTGATCAACAAACAGCATCTAGGAAAACAATCTATCTCAACACTGAGGCTGGGAGAGGACAAGGTGATACGTGAAGAGATCTCACAGCCTTTCTTATCTGCGGCGTCAGGGTGGACGGCTTCATGGCGAGAAGCATATGCTCCCTCTGTGTGCTACAGAGTCATCTTTAAACACTACCAGGGGAGGGAAAAACTTCTCCTTCTGCTTAAACTCCAGTTAAGGATCTCCTGGAGTCACTGTCTTTATCAAGTGCCTCTTGTCTATGGCTACAAAGAACAGGACAATGTACAAGGGGCATCGTCATCAAATTCAGCATTTAACTTCCACTTAGTCAGAGGCACAAGTGAAGAACACAACTTAAATGAGAAAAGACCTGCAGCAACATACACTTAGAATCATAGAATGGTTCAGGTTGGAAGGGACCTTAAAGCCCCCCCAGTGCCACCCCCTGCCCTGGGCAGGGACACCTCCCACCAGCCCAGGTTGCTCCAAGCCCCCTCCAACCTGGCCTTGATCCCCTCCAGGGATGGGGCAGCCACAGCTTCTCTGGGCAACCTGGGCCAGGCTCTCACCACCCTCACACCAAACAAGTTCTTCCCCACAGCTCATCTCAATCTCAATCTCACCTCTTTCAGTGTCAAACCCTTCCCCCTCGTCCTATTGGCTCCACTCTCAGGGATTCCAGGGACAGAGGCTACAGGTCAGTAGCTATAGTATTTGTTTGGATGCTGAAACACATGCTGTCCTCTGGCTCTTCACTGCCTATTTGCTGAGATGGCCTCATCCTCTTGCTCATCATGGTGTGATGGCCAAATGGCCAACCGAGCCTGCAGGGGCACGAGCTGGGATGTGCTGCCACGGATGTCTGCACCCAAGCTTTCCTGTCTACCTTCCAGAGATGGTCTGAAGTTACCACTGAAGTAAAAGAGGTCCAACGTGAGCCTCCTAAGGGAGCACAGGCGTCTCACAGAAGGGTAGTATCACACACCTGCAGAGAGTGAGGGAGGTGACACCTAAACCAGCATCAGATGTTTGGGGGGTTCCAAACAGTACAGGGGCATTCCCTACCCAGAGCAAGGGGGTTGGAACTGGATGATCTTTAAGGTTCCTTCCAACACAAACCATTCTGTGATTCTACGTTTGCTGAACATGAGTCAGAGCCCTTAATCACTTTGTGCTTCAGTTCTCCATCTACAATTACACACAATGAGGACACTCTGTGACGGGAATAACCATGCCAAACAGCGGGAGATCTTCACATCACACAGTAATCAGACCCTTTAAGTCCTTTTTAGTCAGAGCACAGCATGCGAGGAAACAAAATGATGATTTTGGAGGAGATGAGCAGAGGAAACACAGGCAAGGTTTAGCAAAATTGTTGGACCCACTCTCAGAATGAGAAAAGAGAATTGATACATTAATTATTATGAGGCACATCCAAAGTAGTAGTAGGAAAAATCTAGAATGGACAATGTGTCTTTGGGTACAAAAAGTAACATGGTAACATGGGCATGTAAATCGTAGATTAAATATTAATTTCAATATTTAAAATACATTACTAAAAGATGCCTACCCACAAAAAATATATATTGTAAATATCCTAACTAACCACCAAAATGGGATAAAAACTGCAGTTTTTCTGTTACTTATGGATGCTTTTGAGGATTTAGTTAGCTATTTTCATGAGGAACTGCTAGAGAATGCGTCACCATTTTATCAGAAGGAAGAATAGAAGATTGTTTATTTTCTTAAGACCGGTAGGAAAGCAACACATTGAACTGGAAAATAAGACAGCTTGAAATGTTAGCTCAGTAAAAGCCATCAGATATTGTTTATGGATTGCAGTGAGGTTTTGTTAATTTTTTTTTTTAATTGTTCCTGCATTACTTGTGGGCATGTGACCACAGTTTATGCTGTTATGTTGTCAGGCTTCTGATAATGGGAAGTACTGTTTGTTTAGACTGTGTAGCTCTTCACTTTAATTCACCCTGGCTCCAGCGTGACATGTTAAAACTACTATCAATGGAAAATCCAAATTTCCCAGAAGGACTTAAAAGAGCAACCTCAGTGAACTGAAATTATCTCCTCTTAAAGCTAATTACCTCAGTATACTTAAGAAAGTAGTGCTATAGGAAATCTGTTTCTTTAGGCTCTTTTCTATTCCGTTCAATGCCTCAGGTCAATATGAATAATTATTGTTTGCTTTTATTACACTTTTTTTCATTATTCATTTACATGCCTGTGAAAGGACATAAAACTAAAATAATCCAACAAATTAAGAGTAATTTTTTCAGACAGGCATTCATAATTAAAAAACAAACAGAAAATATTTTCACCTCTCAGTTTATTTTATTAAAAAGAAAATACTGTGAGGTTTCCATTTAATAGGAAGCTTTAAAGCATTAATGAGTCTCCCAGGGCAGTTATTGCAAGTAAATATGGAATGCTTCCAAAAATTAAATACGTTCTACCATTTTCTGTTACCTAAGAGCTGGATTTCGGAAAAATACTCATCAAGGGCTGATTGCTGATGAAAACAATACGCAATTCTGCAGCCTAGGTCATCTTCCTTCGAGAGAGTCCACCCAATGCCATCAGAAGGTCTGGCAGGGTGGCAGTTTTCCCCCCAACCCCAAGAAGGGGCTTAGAGTAGATTCTTTCTTTTGACTGCCCCAACCATAATTCTGGCAATCCTTTTAAAGCCCCTCATCCTAAGGATTTTATGACCTTGCAGGAGCTGCCTTTTTCTAAGGGCCAACCTGGGAGACAAATCCAGAGGTTCTCTTACACCGAAAGCTGAGGACTTTAACTGTAATACATGGGCTGGACTACAAGCTACCAAATCCCTGGAAAAAGGTGAGAAAAAAGTAAAGGAGAGTATGAGGGGGAAGATCTCTTAACACAGCTCACTATTATATATCACACTTCCATTTATTTTGCTTTAAATTAGGCACTGGTTTCCCAGAGCTGTTAACGAACCTGGTTCCCTGTTAGGGCTGTTTGATTCAGTGCACACTTTTGTATGGGTTGATGGTTGGACTCAATGATTTGAAAAGTCCCTTCCAGCCGAGACAATTCTATGATTCTATGACTCAGTCCATGGACACACAGCTTCCCCCACGCCCGTTCAGGCTGATGTGTTCATCATCCTTCTCTAAATATATATCATTGAGAAACTGTCAAATGCCTTTTTTCCCACCACCTTGTACTCATTTCATTGTAGCAGTTACATGCAAACTGTTGAGACATGAAAATAAATCAGGAGTTGCACAGAAAAATTCATTTCTTTGAAAAGAATGATCAATAGGTCAGTATTCCCACACTTTTTCTGATCCTGGGTTATCCACACGGAAAATAACCATCACTCTCTGACTGTGCCTATTTACTCCAGGCCAAGAAACAATAACGCAAAACTTTTAAACAAATTTTTAGATGCTATTTTCTTTGCTATTGTCATGGAAATGAAGAAAAACACTGCCACAGCAAACAAAACTTAAATCAAAGCACAGAAAATTTTTCTGCAAGCAACCACAGTCCC